ATAGACCTTCAGGGTTATAAATAAAGTAATAAAGAAAGTAAATTAGGTAGTCCCTAGTTAATTTTCACATACAAATGGCAAAACCTATCACGTACATGCATTATACATTTTGCATATATGTAAATATATACAAGAATATTTGAGCAGTCCAATTTTTAGGTCCTATCCAAGGATCATCCTCACAAACAATCATCCAAATCATAAACCATGTAGCCATCTAACTGTGATTGAATAATTAGACTAACATGTTGTCTGACAAACACTGAAATCCTCATCAAGATAATAAGATCGCTAAACAGCTTCTGATTTTGGCTGATTTAATTTCAGGGATGTTTGTTAAAAGCGCACTACATCTGTCTCCAAGCTCTAATTTTCTCTTTTCAGAGAAGAGACTAGTCAAGCTCCCGCACAGAATATCCCAACGGCTGAAGCTTAAACAAGTCTTGCTTTGTCCCTTTTCCTGGTTTGTTGATTAAGCTGTTAACTTGTATTTAACTACTACGCATTACAAGACTAGGAAAGCTCGAGAGTAGAATATCCAATTGACTGAACATACATGGTCTTTAACTTCCAGAATCAGATATTGCTTCTTTTACAAAATCTAATAGGTTCATCTAGTTTTTATGGACTTAAGTGCATATCGAAAAAATACACCTTAGAAGGCATGTTAACATTCCAAATCCAAGAAGATGGTTATAAAAAAACAAAGAGATGGAGTATCTCATAACCCTGATATGACATCTATGAGAAAATTCCCTATGTCAATCTAACCTCCATCTCATCCTATCAGGTCAACAAGGGTGAAAGGTCATACTTTCAAGTAAAAAAGCAAAGACCTGAAAACCTTTTTTAGCAATGGAAGCATTATCACATAACCAACTTTGTCTTATGACCTGAGACACTGCCGCCCAACCGACTAAACTCCTTCCTCCACAGCTAAAAGAAAAAGGGAAATTACAAAAACTAATAATAATAAATAATCCCTCAAGGACATTCAACAAACTCTTTGCCACTTGGGCTCAAATTTAGAAAGAGAAATATAATAGGTTATCATCTAGAGAGAAGTCCGAGAAAACAATTTGCTGAATAAGGAAATAGTAGGGATGAATGCTGGTTTGAGTCTTAGAGCTCAGCTCACTTCCAGTTTGCAACATTAGCATTGGAAACCATGTGTTTGAATTTGGTTTAATGAGCTGGTTTACCCAATCTGACCCAACTTAATACAATGTAATTCTACAAAAACCTTTCTGGTTTTAGTTTGTAAATTTGATAATTTTGACATTGGAAGTTTCTTGTCTTGATATGGCACTGCACGAATAGTTCATACCGTTTATAAAAAGCACCATGGTTATCTTCTTCGCTACATAATTGGAATTGGAGATAAACCCCTCCATCTGGAAAACTGAGCTAGAAGGATCTTTATCCAAAGCTTCTACCTTCATCAGACAGCGAGCAACTGACACCCCATAAACTGAACGAATTGCATCAATCCTTGATATTGTGGCAACAGAATTAACATCTGCTCTAGCAGCTCCATGCTGATAATAATAGCAGCTCAAAAAGTTTTAATCGTTATTTTGGAGTAAGTTCTAGCCATGCAAACGATAAGTGAAGTAAGAAAGAAAACTTTCATTAGTTGGTGAAATGGAAACCTACTTTTCTGCAGGAGAAGCTAACATTCATATGATGAATGGCAAACCGGCTTAACACATCTACAATCTTTGAATAATCATCAGCAGAATTTTGCAGTGTCTTCCTCCGAGCAGTCATGTTATAGAATAAATTTTCAACCTGGCAACACACGACCGCTTAATTCACAAGTAAAGCTAATTTCATCCCATTGCACCAAAATATAAAAGTAATTTTATCCCATTAAACCACATTGGCCAAACATTGAATGACCAGCAAAATGACCATTTGGTTTTCTTTCGTTTAAGGCAATTGGTGTATGAGTTTCACAGTCTGAACTTATAAACTGCTCTGATTTCTAATAATGAGAGACTACAGAAAACCCAATCCAAATGTTTTCCATACCATTATCTGAGTTCCTTTTACAGCAGCGCACGCCTTTGGTTCGTGCTCCATGACTCCATCTTTATAAGATACCCTGAACCAGGAAATTATAACTTTAAAAATTCAATCATTATATGGAAAACTCAAAAGGCTATGCCATTTCCATTTCTACCTGTGAACAAATATTTTGTCAGCGACCTAACAAATTACTAGCCAGTCATTTCATCAAACAGGTAATGAACATACCTATAACCATGCAACTGGCCCTTGGTAATCGTTGTCACAGTAACATGAGCTACATAAGTCATGCTCGCAAGTGCTTCTCCTCTAAACCCCATCGACTTTATCGATTGCAAATCCTCAAACGTCGACAATTTCGACGTCGTGTGCCGCTCACAGAGTATGGGCAAGTCCTCATACTAGAGTTAAAGAAAATCGATAATTCGTAATGAAGCAGGAGAAACTCTGAAATACTTATGAAAAAAAAAATGAAAAGAAAAAGATTCCCGAGAACCAAGCAGAAAATGTGAGAAAGAGAAGAAGCAGTGAGAAGACTAACGCGGATGCCGTGGCCGTCATCGGAGACTTGGATGAGCTTGAGGCCGCCGTCCTTGACGACGACGTTTATGGAGGAGGAGCAGGCGTCGAGACTGTTCTCAACGAGCTCTTTGACGGCGGAGACAGGGCGTTGGATAACCTCGCCGGCGGCGATTCGGTTCACTACAGAATCGTCTAGGCGGTGAATTTTGGGAGGCTCCATCGGGACTTGCTCTTCTTCTGCTTCAATTTCCATTTCCATTTTCTGTCGTTGGACTCTCTCTTATCAGTGTGCCCCCAACAGCTTGATGAGCTGCCTGCAAAATTCGGGAGTGCCAAATTTCCCAGACGACACACCGCCAAAGCCTGAATTGAAAAATATTCTAATCCCACCTGAAAAATATACTTTTTACGAGTCTAGCTGCGCGGATAGAATACAACCAGCGGCTATATTCGGGGCTTTTTCTTTTTTTTTAAATAAATAGTACAGCCGCCCGGCTATACGCTTTAAATATGCACTGACATCTCTTTTTTTTATTAAATAATTGTTTTCCATGATTTTCATTTACCCATAAGAATAGTTTACAGCATTATTCATTACTATTAGGCCATTACTCAAGTCTATGCTGTCTCCTTTTGATTTTTTACTTTTTCAGAGTTATTACTCGTATAAAGAATTTGGCATTATCCCATTTAATACTCGTATTATACATGTACGTATGTATTTTTCAATAATACTTTTGTTTTTCATACACGTCTTAAATATTCGGTGAAATACACATTTTTTTAAAAGAAAATATACAATACATATATTGTATGTACATACGTATTTTTTTCATGTTTAAAACACATATTTTTTACAAAATTTTCAATAATACACACAAAATTCACATATTTTGCACATAATTTTTACATATTATTGAATAAAAATATTATATAGAGGCCGAACTTTTCAATTGTAACTTGCCAAAGTTTTGCAGAATAAAAGACGTACGTGTTTTATTGGTATTTTTCCCATTCCGCATTTTACTATTTATGAAAGAACTTGATAGGCTAAGATTATTTCTTACTTGTTGTAAGAAAAATGCAAGATGTTGATTTTGCAATCTCTTTGCCAATTAGAACAACAATTTCAAACCAAGTTTATGGGTATAGTAATAAGAGAGGTGGTAGTATTTTTCATGTAAAGTGTTGTTTTGAAAAGTGAAGCAATTACCAAGACCACTCCAACTTAGCATGCAATTTCCCTACGATCAATAATGTGTGCAGTAACATAATTTAGTAGCACTCAAGATAATGAGGTAGATCAAAGGCAAACATTCCCACGAAAAATAAAGAAGAAGAAAAAATTGAACTCTCATATTGATTTACTGTGAAAATTCTCTCTTTTCAATATCTACTTTGGATATGTTGAAACTAGCAAATTAATAAGTATAAAGTATAAACTAATGGAAGTAGGCCACAAAATTTCAAAATTGCCAGGGCACCCATCTTTGCAAACTCTCAAACTAGAAAGTTTATGTTTTTCTTCATAGTCTCTCTCTCTGTTAACTGTCTTTCCCGAGCAGAAGGGTCTTAGGTCAAAGTCAAAGTTTATCAGTCTAATGATTTTCGAAATTACATCAATTTCAAGTAAAGATACCCTTGTATACAATGAGTCCAAAAACTCCAACAGGTAGCGTTATTGCAAGAGGAACTGTCAAGGGCTAATCATGTTGAGCAAAAGCTCATATTTAAACAGGACATATACAACTCCCTAGAACAAGAATTAAATGCCAAACCAACGTAGCAAACTTTTCTAGAATATAAAACTAGTAATGAAATTTTCAAAATTAATCTCAACAAATGATTGGTGATCTGACAATGCTTAGAAATGGTGAGTGAACTCCGAGTCAGGCTGACAGAAACCAGCAGGTTCTCGACCACTGGATGCCCCCTGGTGACCCAAACCTCAAGATTAATATTGATGCTGCGTGGAACCAACACAATTGTACGGCAGTTGCTGCGGTTATCGTCAGGTACGCATGAGGGATGTTTCTCGGGACAAGATCGTCTTATATGGCTGCGGGTTCTGCAATTGAGGTGGAGGCAATGGCGGCCTTGGAGGGATGCCAACTCGCAGTCGAAAGAGGATTGTCACATGTTTTCTCCCTTCTGCTTTATTGCATTGTATTTACTTTCTCGTTGTATGTTCCTATGTCCAATGATAAGTGCAAGTTTCTTACAGAACAAAAAATACAGTAGACTGAATTGGCTATTGGATTAAACATAAAGACAAAATTGGCTGAATTGATAAGGGACCAAATTGGTGAATTGATAAGAGACCAAATTGATGACTTGATAAGAGACATTTAGGAATTTAACCCCAAAATAAAAACACAGCAAAGTCATCCAGAATAGGTATAAAAAAAAAGGCTCTGCTAATAACTATTCGGTCTATTGCCACAAAGTGGCCCCTACAATGCCAGTGCATATGGACAACACAAGGTTCTACATTTTCTAATTTCATTTGTAATTCACCGTAATTGAGCATGAAAATGTATACAAATTCAACTGAAACTACATTGCAACATATAGATGGCTCACTTCTAAAATCCTATATTCCAATGAGGTGAATCAAGTCCAATTATTTGACCCCCATACAACAAAGAAAAATTCCCAGCTTGCTATTACGAACTCAAAACTAGTTCCTCCTTTCCATGTTTTAAATTTAAAATTGCCGTAAGCCGTGACTGCACAGTTCAGGAACCTCCATGACGGTGATAGAGTATCGACCGAGAAATGGCAGCAAGATTAAACAAGATGACGAGCGCCACGATGAAATCATCCACATAACCAAGTAAACCAAAGATTGCTGCAGGACCACACAAAACCAGGATGATGTATTAATAGTGTGCTACTTACTAGAACAACTCAACAAGAAAAATTCAACCAAATGAAAGTTAAAGCACAAAAGCCACCTTCCGGAATAAGGTCAACAGGACTGACTAGGTAGATTGCTAACAATATCATCTGTAAATTCAAAAAAACACAAATTGCCAGAAGGTGAGAACTTCATAATGAACATAAAGTATATCATATGCTTCAGAATTGACCACCACAACCTTATACATTCATTTAAAGTGGAAAAGATAACACCTGATAATGCATAACTATCAGTAGAAAAGAGACCTATTAAAAAATGACGCAATGCAGATGATTTCTCATCTAAAAATTTTTGCCAGGTCCAACTACATCACTGCATTTACAGCTGCATGGTATGAAGTAAAAAACTAGAAGAAAAAATTTGCCAATGCTGCTATAGTAGCATATGCTAGAATTACATTTGAAGCAATAGGGCTGATAAAAAAAGGATGAACCAAAGTTTGGCAGTATAGCATGCAAACGCATTTTTGACATGCAAGTCCTTTTTCATTTAAAACCTTGGGATAGATCTGAGCTATGAGCTCCAAATAATTATTCAACGACAACAAAAGGACAGCATGCATAACTCCTAACTATAGCGACTCTATTTCCTCTTCTATGTTTCTCAGTTGCCTGGGCACTTGTCATTAATAAATGACAGATCACTTGATGCAAGTAACAAAACGGCTATGAAAAGGCAAATTCAATATCAAACAAATATTATAAATTGGTATGATGCTATTTCATCATGTTTTCAAGAGCCCTACGCTATCTTGTTGAAGGTCGTACACTGATATAAAATACTTGCAATGTTCATACAAAATTCAATAAACTCCTACATCAGCTCGAATGGATCAGGTCTGCATGTATGTTGTGTGGTTTGTGGATGACAAAATTCAAAAGATATGCAACTCATTTATAAGATTGTTGAAAAGAACCCTTGTGTCACAAATCAACGGACTACCTACTCCAGATAAACAAAACAAAACGATAATGTAGGTAAGCACCCATGTGGTTGTATTGCCAACAAACTGACTGCAGGATATAAGATAATTGATCGCATACTTGTGTCAATTACTTAACTGCAAAACAGATCTGAGCCATCCTACGAGGAGGAAGAGATCTATTAGGATCAATTAGTTCTCGCAGCAGCCTCCGCAGGAAAAAAGGAAGGTCCTGCCCTCTCTGTAGAAAAGATAATTGACATATATGATGTTAAATGATAGAATATACCTGAGAGAGAGAGAGAGAGAGAGAGAGAGAGAGAGAGAGAGAGAGAGAGAGAAATTCATTCAAAATCATTTGACATTTATGATGTTAAATGCATGAATACACTTGGCAACGTTGTACAGAAAGGACCTAATGCTCTAATATTTTCAATCAAATATCGTACCTATCTTCATACCTAATGTTCTCATTTGAATATTTATTATTTAGATCAGACAAAACTAAAGGGAAATGTTGAACATCAAGTATCAGATTACCTTTTTCTATGCTCACATTAAATACAATCAAATATATCCTGAGAAACATAATGGGAAAGTTCACATCTCCAGGAATCATAACTGGATATGGCTTTTGGAATCACGTGGGTCAACAAGAGGTGCAGTTACAAAATTAAGATTGTTAAGTGTTATAAGATTGCTAAAGTGTTAAAAGATTTCTCACGCAAAGAGATTGGAGTTCATGACGAATAACTTTAAGGTGTGAACTAAAGATACTTTTTGAAGGATGTAAGAGAGCGGGACTAGCATCTGAGGCAACAATTCAGTTACTTAAAAGAAAGAGTTGCATTCATGGATGCCAACATGTTTTAGTGAACAGAAACTTTATGTACTTTACTTTTCCAGGAGTCTTAAATTTTTTAATTCTTTTGGAGAAAAAGAATATTTTCTCCGTACATTTTAAGGTGTACAGAAACTATGAATATTTTTCAACTAAATCATATTGAACAACTAGAGTATGTTATATATAATAAATATATACTATTTATATCTATTACATATATCCACTTACCTGAATAAGACTTCTGTGATGATCTCCAAAATAACGATTGTACCTTTCAACTTTGCCTAGAATCTCAGCCACCTCTGGTCTGTCAGCCTGCCTTAATGAAGCCTCACTTGGAACCAACAAAGTGATATAACGACGGCATAGTGGGCATTTACAAGGCTGAAGTGCTGATCCATGATGCCAAACAAGCATAATACAATTTCCTGAACAAAGGGAGCCAATGATTGTCAGTAACTTTTTTGGTTTTTTTAAAGAAAGTACTCATTTATGAGTTCAATCTTTGTAGATCATTTGTAATGGAATCCGATACTTGCAGATTCATATAAAGTAGTAACTGTCGTGCTAATCTATAATCTTATCATCAAACACTCACAATGTTATAGTTAATACTTAATAGCTTGCACAGAATGCAATGTATAGAAGGCATCGCACCCAATCAGTTTAGGTGTATAACACTAGTCGTACAAAAAGTACAGACAACTCAAGTAACATGTTGGAGACTTAGTCACAACTTTGTGAATCCAAAATCTCTATTCTCCATAACAAACAAAAATAATTCCAAGCATAGATCATTTTCATATATTTAGCAGTGAACTCGTCAAACATCAAAATGTCTTTAAAGCCTAAGGTGGAGATACTCTATAAACCCAGCTAAAAACAGCTTTGAATTTTAGTTACGGGGAGTCACACATGCAAACACTTTTTAAACTTAGTTCTCTTTTATCCTCTATTACTATCTATTTGTTGATCCACTATGCTCATAGATCTTCAACTTTTAAAATCATTTTGCCTCATATTCGTAGTTAGTGCATATGGCCTAAAAATCTCAAAAGAGACTTTGCCTTTAGCTCCTCAAGACTGAATTCTTTATTTGATTTTTTTATTTTTGATCGGTTGCATTTATTTATTAAAAAACATTTTAATTACAAGAACTCTTTCTAACATACATAACAGAATCTAATGATATAACAGGTGAAGCTCTGATGCTGAGTTTCACTTGCAGCTCTAGTAAGATGTTTCATCAAGTCCCATGTATATGAATGCATAAATTTGTTAAGGTGCTGTATTATCAAGTTCAAAACATGATCATAATAGTATTTTTATAAGAAAAACATGATCACAATATTTGAAAATATGGAATTGGAAAAACATCACCAATGCCCTTAATGAGGCAACCTCAGCACCAAACAGCCATTGAGTAGAATTTACAGGAGCCCTTCATGAAACAAGCTCAATCATTACATATAAGGTACTTTATCCAGAAGCGTTAAAACAGTAAAAAAGAGGTAATCAATTTTTTCCCTCTCTGTAAGGAGATTATTCAAATGAACAAGAGCGATGATAAGGCACCCCTGCCCTCCTATGGAAACTGGCTAAAGCAGATGTTAGATACAGGGCTAGCAAAACTTTGAATAACACTGATTAAGAATATCATATCCATTCTCCTTGGCATGAAATAGACACTGGGAATGGTTTTCTTTTTTCATGTACGTGGTTTTTCACATCTTTAGGTTGCGACTCTTCAGATTTTATTCTTGTCTAACTTGTTTTTTGTCTCTACCAAACTCCGTAAAGGATAATTATAGATTCATACTGGCACTCCAATTTGACTTCTCTAGATATCAAGCCGCTAACTTACAGCATACAGCTAGCTAACTTAATTTGGATTTGTTTCCAAGGCAAAACATCCTCTGCCTGGTGGAGATAATCACCCAAGTCGCCTTATAAGTCGCTCTAAAACTGCACAATGACATCTACAGCCGCTACCAAACTTTTCTAACAAAATCAAGTCTATCAACACAAGCATGCTCAAATCGGTCATATCGAAAGCATGAACTACCTCGAGACAAATTTGGATCCCCAAGCAATACAAACTATTGAAACAAAATAAAAATGCTCAAAATGCAAGAAAACACACTTCAATGGAGAAATTTCTTGCGACCCACATAGATATGCACACAAAAATCGTTGGGTTCTTTTATAGGCACAAAATTGGTTGATTGAAATACAAGAGAAAGACATATTTAACACTCAAAACTAGGGATCCATTGAAAACCCAACACTATTTTGAACTCATAGGAGAAGATTATGGTAAGTAAAGCAAACATTAGGTAAAGATTAAACGAAAAGTTTGAAAACTTATGCAGATAGAGATGGCATGGCAGCAACCAGTTGCAAAAAAACAAAGACGAATTGGATGTAACATTACAGCCAAACCAAACGCACTGAAAACGAGAAAATGGGATTGAAAAGGAAAGAGAGAAGGGTACCACAAAACCAGTGAGAACAATTGGCTTGACAAGGAGTGTCGAAGTTGCCATGGCAGACCGAGCACATATCGCTGCCTGGAGGATCGTCCATTCCGATCTCTCTCCCTCTTTCTCGCTCTCTTGGGTATTAAAGCCTGCTACTTCTTTTATAGAGTTTATAAAGATAAGTGACAAACTTTTCTAAACTCTTATCATCGAGTTTTATAGAGTTTTAACTACGTTTTATAATTTATTTCATGATTATAAAACTCTTTGATTTCCTACTCCCACACGGCAACTCCATTCTCTTCTCTCTCTTCCTCATCACTCCCTCAATCCAAACTCTGCTCCTTGTTTGAAAGAAACTGCCGGAAAATCTGAATATCAGAGCCCAAAAAAGTGAAGGAATACCAATGATTATCTGAATATCAGAGCTCAATCCCTAAGTCATGATAATACACTCATATTCATCGTAAGTGGGTTTTGAGTTTATGAGGAATACTCATTGCATAGCTACTAAAGTTTGCGTTTTGTAGGCTGAGGAATACCACAGATACACTAATTGCTGCTAACAGTATAGAAAATAGAGAGAAGAACAGAATAATACTTGAGAGAAAACCAGAGGAGTAAACTCAGAAAAATGTTATTAAGAAGAAGATTACAGAGATACGTAGCCACTCAGACTTTATATACAACAGAGCTGTGCTTAATCTCTAAGTAAGCTCTGTAACTAACTCACATGTATATTACAGCTGTTACAGCTGTGAGCTACACGTGATAAACCCACGTGGCTTAGTTAATAACAGATAGCTAACCAATTCTAGAAGCTAAGCTAACTAATTCTTATTTTGGTAAACATCCCCCCTCAATCTCAGCTGGGATACCCAGTCTGAGATTGATACAATGTTTAACAAACACAGGACCATGTAAACCCTTGGTAAAGACGTCTGCAATTTGCTCTTCAGTAGGAATGTACTGCACCATGATATCCCTACGTTGAACTCGTTCTCTAATAAAATGAAAGTCTATATCCAAATGTTTTATCCGAGAATGTTGCACAGGATTTGAACTGAGAGCTAAGGCAGAAAGGTTGTCACAGAATAGTAATGGAGGCTCAGGAAGATACTCATGTAAATCAGCCAAGACTTGTCGAACCCAAGCAATATCAGCAGCTGTATTGGCAAGAGCCCTATACTCGGCTTCCGTAAAGCTCCGGGAAACTGACCCTTGCTTCTTAGATTGCCAAGACACTGGATTTGAACCAATGAAAACTACAAAGCCTGTTGTAGATCTGCGAGTAGATGGATCTCCTGCCCAGTCTGCATCACTGTAAGCATGAAGGTGCATATCACCAGGAGAGAAGGTAATACCATACGCCATAGTACCTTGTATATACCTCAGGATGCGTTTAACCAACAAGAAATGAGTCTCAGAAGGATTTTTCATATATTGGCAAACAGTATTCACAGAATATGCTAAGTCTGGCCTTGTAAAAGTCAGATACTGAAGAGCGCCAACAATGCTACGATATAAAGATGGATCGTTCAATGGTTCACCTTCAGTCTGAAGAACTTGTGTATAAGGCTTACAAGGTGTGGAACAAGCTTTACAAGTTGTCATACCAGCCTTTGCGAGTAGCTCCTTTGCATACTTTTGCTGACTAACAAAAATTGAACCTGTACTCAGATAAGAGATTTGTAAGCCCAAGAAATATGTTAACTGCCCCATGTCTTTCATTTCAAATACAGAACTTAACTCCTCAATTGTAGTTTGAACAAGACTTGTACTGGAACCCGTAAGGATAATATCATCCACGTACAACAAAAGAATAACTATTTCAGAACCTTCTTTCTTAACAAACAGGCTGGGATCAGACTGAGAAGCTGTGAAACCAATGGCAGGTAGGTATCCTGTGAATTTGGCATTCCATGCCCTATGGGCTTGCTTTAAGCCATAAAGAGATTTGCGTAACTTGCAAACATATTGAGGATGGGTGGAATCCTCGAAACCTTGAGGTTGCTTCATATAGACTTCTTCCTCAAGATCTCCATGTAAAAATGCGTTCTTTACATCCAATTGTCTTAATTGCCAACCATGCATAGCAGCTAAACTAAGAATAAGCCGTACAGTCGTGTGTCTAACAACAGGGCTGAAGGTTTCTGAATAATCGAATCCCTGAGTTTGACTAAAGCCTTGAGCCACTAGCCGAGCTTTGTACCTAGACACATTTCCATCTGAATTTCTTTTCACCTTGTAAATCCACTTGCTACCAACTATATTCACACCAGGAGGAGGAGGAACCAGTGTCCAAGTACCCTGGGTATTTAAAGCTGAGATTTCCTCTTGCATAGCAGTGACCCACTCAGGAGAATACCGAGCAACTCTATAACTAGATGGTTCATCCAGTTCAGGCAGAGCAAGTAAACTAGTGTGATAACACTCATAATCTGTAAAATCTTTTCTTTTAGTGACACCAGACTTTGATCTGGTTTGCATAGAATGGTGATTAGTAGGAGAGATATCTGAAGCACTAGAGGAATCAAGACTAGGAAACAACACATCCAATTGTTGATGAGTAAGAGCGGGCAGAACAGTGGGAATTGGCTCTTGATCATGAACAACAGATGGAGAAGAGAAGTGTGATGTTCTTGGGCCTAAGGGAGAAGACACAGAGGCAATAGGAATAGGAGGAATGGCTGGAGGATCAGATAACGGAGGAGGAACATCTGCATGAGACAGTATAGGTAAAACAACAGAGATGGGTGCACTAGAGGTTGATGCAACCGAAGATGAAGATGAGCCTAAAACAGGGACGCCTTGTTTAAAAGGAAACATGCCTTCATCATGAACAACATCCCGAGACACAAGCAACTTGGCAGTAGACATATTGAAACAAAGAATGCCTTTATATCCCATGAGGTAGCCTAGGAAAACACATAATGTAGTTCGAGCCTGAAGCTTGTTTTGATTGATGGATCTGAAACAGGGATACACAGCAGTACCAAAAATCCGTAAATGTTGAATATCTGGGTGTTGATGAAATAACCAAAAATAAGGAGACTTGTGATCAAGAACTTTGCTAGGCATGTGATTGATAAGATATATAGAGTGAGATATAGCATGAAACCAAAAGTGTTGAGGAAGAGAAGCCTCTGACAATAAGGTAATTGCAGTCTCAACCAGATGTCTGTTCTTCCTTTTGGCTAAACCATTTTGTTGAGGTTTGTAAGGACAAGAAAACTGATGCACGATGCCTTTGGAACTGAGAAACTCATGAAATCGATTGCTAACATATTCACCACCCCCATCACTCTGAAAGTACTTAATAACTGCTGAGAATTGATTCACCACAAAAGCATAAAACTTCAGAAAGTGAGAGAACACCTCTGATTTTGCAAACATTGGATAGATCCAAGAGAAACCAGTGAACTCATCAATGAAAGTAACAATGTATCGATATCCTTGAAAAGATTTACAAGGGGATGGTCCCCATACATCGCTATGAATCCGATGAAAGGGAGTTACAGCTTTATTATGATGAGTAGGAAATGGTAAACTATGCATTTTGCCACTCAAACAATATTGGCAAATGTGAGGGTGAGAATCGACTATGTGAGGTAAGCTAGCAGACTTAAGCATACTATGAACCACTTCATTAGTAGGATGTCCTAACCTACTGTGCCACAAGGAGAACTTGACCTGTTGTCCAAGATAAGCCACTTCATGAGGAGCAGCTTTATTAGGAGGTAAGGAGAAAGCAGCCACACCAGGAATCAGATAGAGGCCACTATGACTCCTCCCTGTGAGCAGCACCTATTTGGTGACCTTGTCCTGTGTAGAAAACCCAAACTGATCAAATATCATAGAGCAATTGTTCTCCTTACAAAGCTGATGCACAGACATCAAATTAGCAGTGAGTTTAGGGACATGGAACATATTAGACATGTGTAAAACAGAAGAGGAACTAGAAACGGAGGCATGACCAATATGAGCAACAGGCAAACCTTCCCCATTGCCAACTATTACTCTATTCTCATAAGCACAAGGCTGAGCTGACTCCAAAGTATTGACATTTGACACCATATGATGGCTAGCACCACTGTCTGCAATCCACAGAGTCTCAGGAGCATAGGAGACTTGAGCAGTCATAGCATTGAGAGTAGGTGGTGGAGGAGAGCCTTGATAGACATAATTTGAGCGATGATAACAATCAAGAGCACCATGGCCACGTTTGCCACAAATCTGGCACTCCACCACAGAAGAGGAAGGAGATGATGTAGAGGAAGGGTTGCGATAAAAGAAATTCACAGCAGTATGACCACGCTTAGAGCAGATTTGACATTCAGGTGTGATACCAGACCTAGGAAAACCACCGGATGGCCTCGGAGCAAAATAACCACCACGATTGGTAGGACGATGATTAGGAAACCTCCCACGACCAAAATTCTGAGAAGAAGGCCCATAGGCTGGAGAAGAGGTAGCCTGAAAACCGGAGGGAGTAGAAACAGAAGGCGGTGTAGGAAGAATACCAGCCCCTGGAGTTGGAGACATCGATGAACTATGGCCAATCATTGCCGTCATAGGAGAAATAAGAGAGGAAGGACGTGACTCAGCAGCCTGTTCAGCAGCAAGGAGCTGCGTACGAAAATCCTTGAGAGAAATAGGTGTCTCACGAGCAACAAGCACAGTTCGAATCATATCATAATCGGAAGGTAAACCGTTCAAGACTGAAATCATAAGATCATCATCAGAAATGGACACACCAGCAAGTGCAAGCTGATCACGCACATGCTTAAGACGAAGCAGAAACTTTTCAATGGAATCTGCCCCTTTCTGTGCAGTCTGAAGCTCTGTTTTGAGAAAATTGAGACGAGCTCGAGAGACAGTAGCATATCGATCGATAAGACTGAGCCAAGCATCACGAGCGGTTTTGCTTCCGATAACGTACTCGATCGCATCATCAGACAAAGTTGCAATTAGGAGACTGAGAAGCGCTTTGTCAAGCTTAAGCCAGTTCTTGTAGGCAGCCGTAACCTCAGAAGTGGCTACTTCTTCATCTACAAAGGCAAATTTGGGAGGAGGAACAACGGAGCCATCGAAGTGACCAAAGAGCTCATGTCCTTCAAGAACTGATTCAATTTGATACCGCCACTTCATGAAGTTATCATCATTGAGGCGAATCGTAATCAATCCAAGGAGACCATCAACCTTGAGAGAAGAAGCCATAGCTGAAAGTTTGAGGAAGAGACAAAAACGAAAGGTTTTGCAGATTTGCAATTGAAGAAAATTAGGGTTTGCAGAGGGTAGAATTGGGGAAAAAACGAAGAAGAAGATTAGAAATTAAGTTTGGCAAAGATTAGAAGTGGAGAAGAGGAAGAAGAAGACCAGAGCAAGAAGGCGGAAGACAGAGAACTCAGGAAGATCGAGAAGGCGTGAGCCACCAAGGGCGCTGATACCATGCTAACATTATAGAAAATAGAGAGAAGAACAGAATAATACTTGAGAGAAAACCAGAGGAGTAAACTCAGAAAAATGTTATTAAGAAGAAGATTACCGAAATATGTAGCCACTCAGGCTTTATAT